AGAAAAAAAAGTAATTTTGATAATTTCCATAACCATATCCATACTAAGTGTGGCATTGTTTCTTCATTTTGTATACGTCCATACATATCAATTAATTGTATAATACGTACTGGAAATTGACAGGCAAAAAATGCAACAGTTACCACACAAATAATAACTGTATTAAGACGTTTTTGTTCAAAACGTTTATAACTAAGAAATGAATTCGATTGTTGTTGATCCTGTGTACTTATACCACCACTAAAACTATTTGCTTCGTCATCATATTGTTGTTGTTGTTGTTGTTGATTTTTTGTTATTGCTCGTAATCGAACAGCACGATGACGTACTAATTCCAAAATAATACGTGCATAAATATATATTAAAACAAAAAATGGTATAAAAATAAGAGTAATAATGAACCATGTTATACTATAACGTGCTAACTTTGAGTTGGCATCTAACTGACATATAGTTATAAGATTTGATGTATCATTTAATGAATCAGTTGGATTATATGATGGATCATATGCAGCAAAAATTAAGAATGGTAATGAAAAAACTAAACCAATTGCCCATATTAATAATATAGTAACCAATGTTAATGTTTCATTAAATATATCATGAACCTAAATAAGATGATTATATTTTTCAATCATAAAATTAATTTATTTACTTTAAATGGTTCACATATAGCAATAAAACGTTCAAAACTAATAGCCATTATAGTTAATGATGAAACACTTGTTGCACAACTTTCAATATATTGATTAGTTAAACAAAAAAATTTACCCATATACCATTGATCTTTAGCCCATATATCATGTATAGCTGTTGGAATGCAAAATAAAAGAACAAATACATCAGCTGCACTTAAATTAGCAAAAAAATAATTTGTAAAATGTTTTAAATCATTATTTTTTAATGTAACAAAAAGAACAATAAAATTGCCGACGAGACCAGATATAAGTACAAGAATATAAACAATTGTAAAAAATATCAATGAACTTAAAGTTTCATTTTGATATGGTGAAGTCGAGTCATGCTCGACATCATTTAATGAAGTTGTATTATTACCAATCATATCATTCTAAAAATAAAATTCTTATTATTATATAATTATGTCCGTGCAAGAAAAAAAAAGAAAGCAAATGATTAAATTGATTTTTTATTTATCGAATTAAATATTTATGTAGAAAAACTAATATGAAATTCACGTATGAGGTAGTTCGTAGAACAAGTCTTTATTATAGAATACAGAAATATACTGTTATACAACTAAACAGACAGAGAAAAAAAGAAAGAAAATACTCCAAATAAACATGACAGGAGGTATGAGACACATTACAGAAGAAGGATGGAATGTGTACATCACAAGAGAGTTATCATCTCCTTAAGCTAAAGAGAAACGAGTTCAATAGTCATCATTATTTCTATATCATTCATCGTCTCAGTCAATTTACGTACACACATATATATATATATATATATATGTGTGTGTGTGTGTATATGTGATAATGATATTCAGACTCACATCAA